TCCCCCACCCCCAGCTCCCCCGCCAGGTTTCTTCCTCTGTGGGGCTTCGAACTGCTTTGTTCAGTTCAAACCCTGCTGAGAATTTGCATTTCCACCCCAGATACACTGAATCGGAATCTACAGTTTAACAAGATCCCCAGGTGATTCTTCTGTATAATAAATTATGAGAACCACTGCTCCACTAGTGGTTCTCAGAACTGGTCCCTAACCAGCAGCACCAGCATTGCCTGGAACTTGGTAAAAATGCAAATTCTCAGCAAGGGTTGGAACCTGAACGAACCTGCTGGAAGCCCTGTAGGCTTTCTGTGTCTGCTCCTCTGCTTCTGTCTTTATCTCTATTCAACCCACCAGGACGACCTCCTCTGCCATCTTCACCTGCGGAGTCTTCAAGGCCCGATTCCAAAGTCACCTCTTCCATGAAGCCTTCCCTAAGCTCTCATTCTCCTTCTCCCTACTCAACGCCCAGGTGCCTCTCAGAAAACACACAGCTTTCTAGCTAATGGTAGTTTGAGAGTAGGTCTTTTCTCCCTCACTAGACTCTGAGCTTCCTGAGGGCAGACACCACGCCTCTCTCATCACTCCGTGCTGGGGCCTGGCTCACGTCAGACACCTGGTGTGCGTTACTGAGTGAGGCTGGGAAGGTTAGCTGGATCTCATGATCACCAACCCCGGGGAAAGCGCACAGGCAACGGAAGGGGGCGGAGCTGGCTCAGATGAAAATACAACTGAAGAGACTAGCCACAGAGATGCCCACCCGGCTTCGCAGGAAGCCGGGACTCACGCTTGTTCAATCCCGCCCAGTCCACGATTCCTCCCAGCCCCTTGCCCACTGCTGACGGGAGGCCTTGAGGCCAGACCTAAGATGGGGCTTTGGCTGCAGCCTTTGCTGTGGGCGCTACGTATCAGATCTGCTTCTGCCAGAGGACACCCGGCTTTGCGTACAGCCACAGAGTTCCGGCAGCATCTCCTGCAATGGTGTGCTGCCTCCGTCATCTTGTACACGCCTGCCAGACACGCATTTAAGGACCACGTGGAGCTGCCTTGTCCCCATAAGGCTCTGATCTGGGCCACACATCCTGGAGTGACCACAGCTGTGCACCCTGGGCAAATCAACGTGCTCCTCACCCAGGAACCAAACCCGCTACCGTCGAGTAGATTCTGACTCATAGCGACCCTTAGGACAGAGAAGAATTGCCTCACAGGGTTTCCAAGGAGCAGCTGGTGGATTTGAACTTCCCATCTTTTGGTTAGCAGCGAGCTCTTAACCACTGCACCACCAGGGTTGCTCACCCAGAAAACGACAGTAATAATAATAATGGTACCTCACAAAACTGCTGAGGAATAAATGAATTGCATGAGAAAAGCACCTGGCAAACCATAAAGCCCTGGAAAACATTAGTTTTCATTATCACTTAAAGCAAAGTCTCTGGTTGAACTTTCCATGGAGTCAAAAATGTCTTGTTAATCATTCGCCTGCTTGTGTACCTGCAGACTTAAATGGCCTTCCGCCCCAATCGGGTTTGCTTGTGCCGTTAAAAAGGCACCTCACTTTGCAATTTATGTGGTGTTTCCTTCCCCGCAGTCCTCCGCCTGCAGCCTCATTCCCCAACTGGCTCCCCCAAGGCCCCGTGAGGTGTCAGGATGGGTGGTGCTGGGACGCTGGCCTCGCTGTCAGCAAGCTTGTCAAGTCTAGGAGCTGATCCTGTCATGAGGAAGGGCATGGCCCACCCTCTGGGGACCCCAACCAAGACAATCTCACCCTTCTCTCACTCATCTCAAACACGTGTCGCTAGAGTCAAAATAAAGAGCCTATTCCCACTGTTCTTGTTGCTGCTGGCTGCTGTCGAGTCGACGCCTGACTCATGGTGACCCCGTGTACAATGGAAAGAAATGCCGCCTGGTCCTGCGCCATCCCTATGATCAGTTAAGGATTGGACCGTTGTGAACCATAGGGTTTTCATAGGCTGATTTTTGGAAGTACATCACCAGGCCTTTTTTCCATCTTAGTCTGGAAGCTTCACTGAAATCTTTTTCCACTGGCAGACAGGTGGTGGCTATGCGTGAGGTGCACTGGTCGGGAATCGAACCCAGGTCTCCACATGGAAGGCAAGAATTCTACCACTGAACCACCTGCCCCCATTCACACTATACTCATTGCTATCGAGTTGATTCCGACTCATAGCGACCCTGTAGGACAGAGTAGAACTGTCCCATAGGGTTTCCAAGGAGCACCTGGTGGATTCAAACTGCTGACCTTTTGGTTAGCAGCAGTAGCTCTCAGCCACTGCACCACCAGGTTTCCCATTCACACTAAGGAAAAGTAAAAAAGAGAAAGGGAACAAACGTCTGAGAGAGCCATGAATTACTGACGATTTTTAAGTCTCGCCCAAGGCGGCAGGGCTTCGGCCCTGGTCATAGGCGGGGCACGGGGTGGGCAGGTTAGATGGGGCCCCTCCAAGCGGCTGCCTCTCTGCACACAGGACCAGGGGAAGGGGCAGGTTTGTCTGCTAAAGCCCCTGGACCAGGACGCTCCCCAGGGAAGGGCCGAGGTATCCCCCATTTTAGTTGTCTCCAAGTGGCGCTGAGGGGGGAGGGGACTGGGGTGGGGGCCTGGGGCTCCCAGCAGACTGCAGGTAAGTCAGCCCATGCCCCCAGCTTCTCATCTGTAAACAGGGATGCAGGGCTGTTCTGAGGATGGGATGAGATTATACCTGGTACTTGGATTGCATTTTTTCAAAAGGCTTTTATGTCTTATGTCTCTGACATAGGATCTGACAAAGGATTCCAATGCAAGTCCTCCCCCCCTTTCAAGAAAGTGGTCCTTGTTTAACAGGAGGGGGAGCAGATGGGAGAAGGAAGCAGCAAAGCCGCATATTGCCATGCTGCAGGGCGGGTGGGCTGGAAGGAGGCCCTGTAGGGCAGGGAATGACCTAGACTCGGGCCATAAGCCTCCCTGACCCGCTGGCCAATGCGCTGAAAAATGGGCAAGTACCAGGATGGCCCAGGTAAGGCCTGGCCCCACTGCCCGCAGAGTGGGATTGGGCCTGCCTCCCGCCAACTGCCCCCGCCCACGTGGGACCCAGGAGAGGTGTGTGCAGCCAATGCTCCGAGGGAGCCAGGAGAAAGATGTGGATCAGGCTCTCAGCCGTACAGTGCCTCGGGCACCTGCTCTAGCCTTCCCGTGATGGGCGGGTAGCCCACCAAGCAGCCTGTCTTGTCTGCTGAAACACCCCCATGAGGGAACATTCGGAGCCGTCCCAGGGAGGCGTCCTCACTGTCAGGGTGCCTTCCTCCTGGGCGGGTGAACCTCTCCTCGAAGGCTGCTCCCAGTGGTTTGGCTTGGCCCTCTGTCAGGACCAGCAGGGTGGTCTTTCAAGGGATGCCTGCGGCCTTGGGGCATCTGAGAACAGTGCTGGTGCTCCCCTCAGCCCCCATCCT